AATAGCAATAATGAAAATATTTTTAAAATGTTTTTAAAATATTGCGGACTGACTGGGTACGTGCATCGCTTTTCCGTGACGTAGCATCAAAGCTGCCTTGCTAAGAGAAAACGCCGTGTGAACCTTCAAACATTGTCATATTTCCCTCGATAAAGAAGAATATACAAGACAATTTGTGTGTATTTTTCTCTCATTTTTTAGGCAATTATGTTCGCAATTCAATCTAAAATGTCTGAAAATTTCCAAGAAAGACATGTATAACTATCCTTCGAAGTAAATATTTTGTCCTGGAACATATGGCAACATTTGAATGTTCGTACGGCATGCTTCATAAGCACGGTAGAAAAACATCCGATGGAGAATTTGCAAGTGTCTTAAATTTCGTGAATTTCATCTTTAAAATGATACTACTAGGAAAACTGAGTACGAGGATATCCTTGGTTTCTAAATTGGACAATTATTGGAAGAGATGTGATAAAATAACCTAATCTGCTAAAATACATGTGTTTAAATGGAAAATGCCGCTAGATGACGTCACAAAGCGGCACATTTTCTCTCTTTTAATCTATTTTTCTCCAATTTTCCATGTCAGAAAAAAATTACGAAAAATACTGCGAACTCAGCTCATTAGGCATTCTCAGATAAAGCAATACAATTTTTGTGTGCAAATTCTCCATTCCGAGGTATGAATCTGGGCGTTCCACACGCAGTGCATTATCGGGGGCAGAATGCATCGTATATCTTAAGTAGGATTCGACTGAAAAGCGTTTTGGCATCGTGGTTGTATTAATAAGCTGCGAGCCAGGTGATAAATGAGGTTGAGTCGCTCGTTGGACGTTGACGTTGACCGACCGATGTCAGATCTGGTGACGAACAGGGGTGCCGCTTTTTCCTCGTGTCCTTATAGTGCCGTGCCGAGGAAAAACGTCGTGCGAACATTTGAGGGTTGCCAAATTTCCTTCGCTAAAATGTTCATTTCTGAGGAAAGCTATGGATATTTTCTCTTAAAATTTTCAGGAACGTCAGGTGGAATTGCGAACAAAATTATCTGCAAAATTGGAGGAAAAATATTTACAAATTTTCCCGAAAATCAGTGATTTACTAAAGGAAATTTGGCAGCGCTTGAAGGCTCATACGGCGTTTTTCCTTAGCACGGCAGTATACATGTTGTCGAGACAGGAGAAGGGAGACGATGGCCGCGGTCCCCAGTGGACCAGTGGCGTAGCGTGATTTGCGATATATCGATTTATCTGCTATTTACACTTATGGAAAATGATCGATAGACAAGATTCCCGCCACGAACACCTTAATGATCGATTCTTTGGGGGCAATTTCGTTAATCGATCATTCACGCCTCGTCACTGCAGTGGACTGACTATTGAAATTGGAAGAATAAGCAGTAGATACAGATGACAATGGGAAAATAGAGTGATCCTATTGGTTGAAACCGGTGATTACACTAGACAAACGAGGTAAGTAATAGACAAAGTAACGGCAAATCACGAGAGACCCTTTGGTTAGTCTATTATTTGCCCCCTTTTAGTCTAGGAATCATTTGTCTCAACCGATAGAATCGCTCCATTTTCCATTTGCCCTCTTTGCAGTTCAATATTTTCAGTACGATTTTGCAAATTTTAGCTCGCTATTTTTCATGTCCATTCCCTTCAACGCGTTCCCGTAAAACTTTTACCTTCTCAGGCAGCCAAGACTTCTGGGAAAAATGACTTTTTCACCGGTGCATCACCTCCCAGGAAAATCCCATAACTTGACCTGTGGATTTTCAACGAAATTTTCGAGGATCCTCGACTCGGGAGTCAAAGAGCGGAGCACGAATCGCTCCAACTTGAGTATTTTAGTGGCCTCATTTCGTCGATGCGACTTACTATACCTGTGGGTCAGTCCGTGGCCGGCCTGCAGTGCCGCAGTGTTGTCGCATCATACCAGCCTCATGTCCACAACGTCGCGTCGCTGCCAGTGTCAACGCCGGTCATTTTCCATGGATGGGAGGGGGGCTAAAGTTGAAAAACTTTCAAAAATCGCTCAAAGTGGCTCATTGGCGGATCCAGCAAGTTGGCAACATTGCCTATTCTCCATTTAAACTTATGAAAATGTATCGATGCTTGGAGGGGCCAGGTGCTCCACCAAGAATCGATTTTTTAGCATCGGTTTAAATGGAGGCGAGTGTTGCCAAATAGCTGAATTCGCCTCTAAAATGGCCCTTTTTAATAAAAATGTGGTCGGGGGGG